ACGTCCTCCAACAAACCTGCCTTGCATGACAGAACCTAGGGGAACATGTGTTCCAGCTAATACAGCTCCGTTAAGTCATCACAATACGCGATCCCGACAACCACGTCAAGTCAGCAGCTATGGTGGAGGGAGAACAAGGTGGTTTGATTGATTTTACTTAGACAACAGACTAGTTGAACTGTTTCTCGAAAATATATCTTAATAATCGGCGTCCTACTAGATTTATAGGCTGTTTCAGTGACACCAGCCTTCATGCTTCTAATGGCATGGATGGGTTGAAACAGCTTTCATAATCTACCGGATACAGCTGCTGTTTCTAACTCAATAGTACACTCAGACCACCAGGCTTCTCGTTCTGCACACAAACTCTACACAACGTTCTAATGTAAGAATCCACGCTTACCACCGAACTCCCCGTTTTCTGGAATTGAGTGACGTAACTCAAAGAGCTTCAAGGAGCCTGTAGAAACCCAAACATCATAACTCAGATGATGCTTGAAGCCGCGATTGACTTTACCAACCATTTTTATGGCATCATGTAAATGCAGCCAACGCTCATCTATACTTTTCCGTGGACTAACTAATACCATTGAGCATAACTCAGTTTGACATTTTTTAATGCAATGGAAGCTGAAGCCAATTTCCCCGTATCAATCCTTTTAGGATGATAAACTTGTTGAACACTCAAAAGTAAGATAAGCTTATGGCAAACCAAAGCCATTTTTAGAGTCCAGATAGATACCCTAAGAGAGGCGACAGTATTGTATACAACCATCCCGGTGGTAGCTAATCAGAATGCGCTTAAACTGAGTCTCAGCGTGAGTTTATGATAAAGGACGTCAGGTGGCACACTGCAAATGAGAGTACTGCAAGTTCGTGCTGGTCAGAAATAGGTTGAAATTAGCGCAAGACTACAGGGGAAAGTCACTGTTATATGACCTGCCGATTCACATAATAGTTCTCTTTAAGCTCTGATTCCATCAACAGTATTCAGTTTATGTAGTTCTTAAGTGTCTCTCCATGATAGAACGAAGTCTACGAGGCACTGAAATCGGTTCCCGTAGGACGTCATTAATTACGTCGAAGTCCCAAAATCTGGTGAAGGATACATACTTGATCATTTGTGACTAAGAAGTTTGAACATTCTTACAGCTGGGTGCGTTCAAAAGGTCAGAGTCAGTCAGTCAGTCAGCTACAACGTAGGACCAGGCACATATATGCATCGGTCCAGGTTGCCATACCGCATTAGCACAGCAAGATGAACACCGGATTCATAGAAAAAGTTAACTAAATGGTGTAATAAATAAAGGAAAGATTTTATGTAAGGATATAGTATAGTAAGGAAGATATGAAATAATTTTAATCTCTTAGTTTAAGGGAAGACAGGGAGTGTATACACCGACGCCATTGTGATCGATTCTGAGCCATGTCACCAAGAGTCTCTAATCATCGGTTACGGAAGTCACGCGGACCCCAACCAAGTAGTCTGCATCTACCAACATGGCTCAGACTAGAAGTTAGTGTCTTCAAGCACTGATGCCACGTTTTGGTTTGGCCGCCCCTAACTTTCTTCCAAAAGGTCAGAACTATCATGGCTAAAAGTATACACAATCCCAATCGAACGTTTAGTCATGTATGTTTTGAAGGTCAACAATTCTCAATTGATCAAAAGTGACAAAATAAGTAGAATGTTCCTTGTCTCTTTGTTTCTCTTTCCAAATTTATTTCACTGGATTATACCCTTTAAGTAACATCTTCAAACCCTAATCTTTCCAACTACTGCTTATACTCTTACTACCTCTACCACAATGGGATTTGAATCGACAACTGCATCTCTGTGCTAATGTGGTATGGCAACTCGAACTGATGTACGAATGTAAGAAGTTCTACGTTGTTACTGACTGACTGACAGAATGTTTAACGTCCTCAACTATCTTACTCCGTATTCTAAAATCAAACATTAAAACAAGTACTTAAGCAACGCTGTATTTGTAAATACGAAGTAGACCCAACCACTATTTTGATCTTGACTGAACACTGAACATAGGCTATGCACTCTTTTGGAGAGTCTTGAGAGGGAGGAATACCTTGTACTAATGCAGATAACATATGATGTGTAAACATATATTATGGAACCCGCTTCTGAGGTAGTAACAGAAAATTAAGATATAAACGATGTGGACAGACTATATGCAATGTAATAATTTCTTAAAAAAGTAGTGAAATACAGTTCAGCAATTATATGTACCAAGCTATGAACAGCACTTCTAATACTGACTTGCAATATTCACCTAAATAGATGGGGTGGAATGAAATTATTTAACTATTTATTCGAAATCATTATACTTAAACTGATGATCGGCAGTAATAAACTAGAATTTATAACCGAACTTACACGTTAGTTCACGGTTTTCCTCTAAACGATTACTGAATGAACGTATACTTGGGAAATAACGCATAACTCGGCACAATGATTCACTGATTACATAATCAAGATTTGAATAAAACATAGATGTGGGCATCACAAATATAGGGGCTGATTCGATAGTTTAACCGATTAAAAATAAAATCTGAATCCCCTAGGACAAAAAATCACATTAATCAGTCAATTATGTAGCCCACTTACGGTTTTATTTATTTATTTTTGTTGGTTAATGAGATTATCCGATTATTCAAACTGAAATATGAGGCTAAAATCAAGACTGGCTTAGTGGTGGGAATTCGACCATTTCAACCATTGAACAATCGTTCTCAGAATGCAGATAACATCACAACATAGATGTTAATGACTAATTAGTGAAAATCCAAAACCACGCTGCACTCTGTAAATCGAGCGATACTGTGAATAACTAAATAAAAGAAACTGTTTGAACAAATGTCCTGTGAGCAGGTGATAGTGACATAGTGGTCTGTCTCAGATATAGTGAAGACTCAGTCGAGAAATAGTGGTGGCTACTAAGTCAGCCACAACATAGGACCACAGGTGACGCAAGTTGGCAAAAGCCAAACGAGCATTCTGGATCCGTACAGAGATTTCGTCAGGCACCAACTCATTAGGACTAATCAGACTTCCAAGATAAGTGAAGTTGTCGACGCTCAGTGCTACTAAACGACTGAATTTTATCATTGTCTTCACTAAACAGGATTATGTCATCCGCGTATTCTAAGTCGATTAAAGCATTATTTCCATCAGTAGATCTATGATTAAGTCAAACAAAAATGGAAAAAGTCTTTCCTCAAACAGTGAGACTAAAATTGCTTTATATCTTACTTTCTACCGACTAATTCTTTCTTCCTGTGCTATATCCTAATACACAATCTATTTTATACACTACTACCAGTGAAGTATCTGCTTTTATAAATTTGGTGTTCATCTTGTTGTGCTAATGAGGTGTGGCAACTTCTACCGATACATATATGTGCCTGGTCCTATGTTGTAGCTGACTGCAGGGGCACGGTGGGAGTAAACTTACATCTTGGAAAGCAATGATGATGTAGTTTTTTTTAACAACAGAGTTAGAAAACGTTGCCCCTACGAACAACTTAATTCACCTTGCTCCGCAGATTCTCATCACCAGTTGTAAGGCAGGAAAAGAAATTTGCTGTGGGATCGAAATCTACTCGAAATCACTGCGTGACTATTCCCAAGCGGTTACAACTTGAACTCTGCAGTGACACGTGTAAGTCATCTAGATCTTGTCTAATCCAGTCTTCGTTATAAGCACTTGGAAAAGTGTACTTTTGTGGTGTGGGGAACAGAGGATATTAACTATACGCCGGATTTGGAAACTAGCTTATTCTAGGTTATCGGTCAATTCCACTACGTACGAACATGTGTCAGTGTAAGCATGGGAGATATCTTAAGTGCACTTGGTGGACAATTACCTAAAGCTGGTTAACCAGTACACAAATAAATATATGAAGATTGAATCCAGATTCCTGCCTAGTGGTACATGTGAAGTTAAGAATTGTTAAGAGATAAATAGTGCACGAACCTAATTTTTCACCAACCTTTATTAAAATACACTGCTCTACGATGACTTACTATCCTATGTACAAATCTATAGATCAAAGGTTACGACTATTTTGTGAAGAAATCCGCCTATTTTAGCCTAGATGCCTAGAGCACTACAACTGTGATATAAATTAGGGAAATTTCATATAAAGAATAGTTAGTGCTCGTAAATATGTTGATGTTCAGAGGAGTCAGTTCATAAAACTTCTGAGCTAAAACATTCTGTGCGGTTGAAATTTCACACCCACTTCAGTTCGAAGTACATATACGATTTCGCCCTCAACACCATTACCAATTGTAGTACTTCATGCAGCTAGACTGAATTCATGTATGTAGCTTAACTAGTGAAGTTTAGTATTAGAAGCTTGAAGGAAACTGTACAGAGAGCCCCTTCTCAGAAGCTCCGCGCAGTTCATAGCTTATTTTAGCCATTAACAACACCTAACATAACAATTCTCAATGACTTCTTCTCTCTGAAATTTCGGGTTCCAATGGACTGTAACGATTAACTACTGATGAGATAGAGGTGTACATGAGTGCCGTTTGTTCCAACCGTAACCATGGTATAGTGTACCAGAAAACTTCGTGTTAGTGTTTACGACACGTTATTAACGTTAAAGGCGTGTGGTTATGTCGGGACCTGAAACACGAAGCAGTAATTATACATTCAAGTAACAAGGGTATAAAGTGATGTAAGAACTTTCATAATTTTGTGTCCTATATATACGCCATTTGGTGTTTACGCAAGAATTATGCAGATAGTACCTCTGTAATCATTCAATTCATAAGCGAATAACCCGGGGTCGAAATTATTCACACTTAAGATATCTGTATTTCATTACATCTCAACAAGCTTCAAAAAATTCTAACAAAGCAAAATTATGTCAGTACACTGAACAGAACATTTTGGCTAGTCAATTGAATGGATAGCCGACTATGCAAGTTTGTTTGTAGTAAAACGTAAAGCATAAACTAGTCAACTAACCATTGCTTTAGAGATTGCGCCTCCAGTATTAAGTTTCTCTAAGACAAGGTGTTTCAATAGCCAAATTATTTACATGAATTTAAAACAACAAATCTTCTTAGTGTTTATAAATTTACGACGACGAATGGCTTTCAGTGTGATTGGTTAAAACATCCAACTGTAGAAGACTTCGGTGACAAGGAAGTTTTATGATTTATATGGTCTTAAAAATATTTTCGTTCATGTCTCTGATATTGTATGCATAATTACGGTCGTAGTTGTACGATATATATATATATATATATATATATATATATATATATATACATTTCCCGTAACAACACCAACATATATATGCTGTCACTATCCGAGTGCAAAAACATGTCACTGCTTATATTGTTTGAGACTTCTACATTGTTGGTCGAGGCACTGACCATACAATAATGTTTTGTATGTTTTGGACTACCCTTCACATTGTGCGATTACTAGCTTTTCTCGTATTCATACCCTTTGTATTATATTTATGCGTTCGCTCGAGTTGTTGACACCGAGAAACATATGACATTAAATGTAATCGGTTCCCAGCAAAAACATGTTACAACTGTGGTTAATTTTTACTTTCTCATTTACCACCACAAATGTATTTATAAGCCCTTTTCTTTTACTTTACCTGTAACTACATGAATGTTTAAGTTTACTTCTTAGCCCCTTGTTTTAGTGAACTACAAGATGTTATTAAGTTAGAATACAGATATAAGGCAGTCATTCATGGGAGTCGTATGAAGACACTTGCTCATGGTTGTGTTTATGCACTGTTTGGACTTCCTCTCCAACTCTATTAACTGATAAAGCAGAAGATACTGAATCTGGATCAAAGGGTCGTGATAACTTAAGTCACATCTGCGAACAGACAGCCAACGTGAATTTTATGGCAGTATTTTCAGAAATTTACTTCGTAAAGAGTTATAGTCATATCCCTGTGAACGACGAACATACACGGAAAACAGCCACTATAACCCGCTTGTTCATTCTAATTTCCTGAGCGCCTTTTGGACTAAAAGATACTTCGCGAGCTTCCATTGGGCTTACCAAAAGATCCATTACGATATATTGTTGTTGTGCATCTATCCAGTGCTGACTTGTTGAATCCCAACCCTGACATTTGAGCCTAGCATTCGAGAAACTTCAGAAAATTGAGTGTAACGCAAATAAACAGGAGCAATGGACTGTAATCGACACACAGATCTCTCTCGAGCATAACGATAATTATTGAAATATTCATTTAACGAGTAACAATATGGGAGCAGAGAGAAATAATTTGCTTTTACTCATCAGATTAACCTCCATATGTATTTGGGACCAGAGTGACTGATTACTGACTCTGTAGTTATGGAGAATAATTAATTGTCTTTACTGACTTGTTTTGGCGTGACACAGCACTGAGCAAACTTTACAAGGACGACTACCTTGTACCGCTTCCTAATAGAGGTGAGAAAACATTTGTGGTATAATTGAACAAATTGATGACTCGATGAGGATTCAAGTTTGAAAAGTGGGGAACTAAGTCAAAACTGGTGAGGGAAGATGATTCACAATCCTATAGTATAGACTGATGGTTGATATGCCTCTGAATTAAAGGTCCACCCATCGATCACATGGGACACCACACACGGTGTTTTTTAGTTTCTATTTAACCGGATCGTGTTAGATTTGTGTCGAAGCTCGAGACAGTCATCATTCCCCCGAGGTATCAGGAATGAGCACAGAAAGAACTTCGAAGGGTGAAGATATGGTCTCGAATTTGTGTGATATCATCTGATAATCCACATGCTTGTTCTCTTTATCACGGCAACCGATTCCCTGTGAATAGCAATTTAATCTGCTGTAGTATCTGGGTCTTTGTAGAGAAGGTCACTCGAATATTTACCAGACACCTTTGTAACACAATCCAATACCACTCTCACTTTATTTGATTTCTTGAGGTTAATCACAGAATGATGGGGCGAATACCACCTTGGATGGTAACTTTGGCCGAATTGAGTACCTGAAACTACAAACACATATCCTTTGTCAAGCGTCTTCTGCATGGCACAGGTTTAGCTTTCCCGAAAGTCTTGGTTGCATTTAGGTCTGCATCTCAAACTTTTTAATCTTCATCTAGGTAGGGTGTAACTTCCAGAAATCATTTTTTCCGTATTCCAAAGTAAAGGGACAACCCAGTGACTTTCATCAAAATAAGTATCACACTTTACTTAACTAATTACTTTTAAACCCTTCAAAGATAATGACTTTTCAGAGAACCGAACGTCATAAAACTTATATTTATATATTCTCTTAAACTGCTCTATAGAGTCATAGCCTTCTGATCAAAATAGACCCCATCCTACCAGTGTTCTAATGGGATTAGGACTTTTCCTTCCACATAACCTTTGGTCCGGAGCCGGATGCGCTTCAGGCAGTCACAACCAATAGGCAACGTAACTTCGCCGTCTGCGAACTCTCACCAAGGCTAAAATATAATATGGGGTCATCTCTTAGCACTGTGCTTCACGGGTTCCCCTGATCTATGAGCCGGGAAATCATCTAATTTAACAGCCAATTTGACACGTATACAATCGTTTCCATCTGATGAGTAGGCTCCAAAAGTTTAAGTTGTCGATTCGGCTGACTTATTTCCGCTCCCCGTTTTGATAGCGATCGACTCACTCCCTAGTGATAATCCTAAAATTCGTACGTTACCTGACTTGAGTAGGGTAGTATCTGAGTCATTGTATAAAAAATATAGCCACAAACTTCCTTGTCTCCATCTCTGAGGCGTACAGGGGCTAGACCAGAAACAAACTTTATTGGTGACTTTGTGTACCGATAATAACTTTCTTTTAATCGCTCACTTGAGGAGCTCCGAACTTTTATGATGTAATGCAACATTGGGTGACGCCGATTTCGACAACCTTCTGTGGTACATATAACACGAGCTTATCAATCAGCTGATCTGTGACCCCTTCTAACACCACAAAAGCTCATTCCTTTTTCTCTCGCTTTCACCCACCTATCGCTGACTGTTAAAGTGGAAAATTTGTAACATTTATCAATCATGTGACTCTCTCTGCATATAGCACGTTATGACTTGCTAACGATTTTACAGAACGACAACTCCTGTGTCGAACGGGCTACCTTACTCACAACTCGTCAACTACTCGGTGCTATATGCCAGAATCTATCGAATAATATACCTGCGTTATACGATACAAACTCTGTTAACTAAGCGATTGTAAGCTCCGTACTATTTGCTGCAACGTTTCCTACTGATTCAGCTCGTTTTACCTGTGACACCGAGGGCAGCTTCTTTACTGTGTTTTCTAGTGTTCCTGGAGAGTTGAGATCCGCTGATTTATCCATTAGTTCTAGGATTACAGAAAAATGTTCTATTCTTGTTGCTAACCTAGACAAACTTTCCCGTTTCGTTTCAGTATATCGCATGCTCTTTAATAGCCTGACGACTGTGGAAGAATGATACATTCCTCTATGGCCTCTCGAGCCTTCTCTTTACAATAATGTAACAAGAATAAGAGATAATGACCATCATCGTCGACCCTGAACACAAAATACTACTCAAACCGTCTGATAAATTCCGATTACTTTGCTGACCGATCATCAAAACTTCTAAGTTCTATCTTCGAGGGCTTAAGACCCAAACTAAGCGATGACAAAGTCACTATCTTCTTCTTTGTTTCTGGAGGTTCTGAACTTTCTGGAGACTTGTCTCCAAAGAAAAGACGAACATATTCCCGTCTGTCATCACAATTGGGGAGCAGTAGTTATTTCACCATACGTGTTCTCTATAAGCCATTAAGGACCTGAGCTCTATCTGAAGGCACAGTAGTCGTTACCTTGTCTAAACTTCAAGTCTCTAATTTCTAATAATTGTTGTTCCCTCATCTGCCTTTCAACTCTTCCAAGGTGATGCTGGAACTAATTTTGCTATGGCAACTAACTAAACCGATATAAAAGCCATGACGTTAAAACGCACAAGAATGGACTTGTCGTAAATCTGGAGGTGCATCAGAGTGCATTGCTTCTTGGGCAAACACGTGTGTGTCCGATAAAATCTTAAGCCACTGTGTTGCACCATATCTAGGACCCCAACCAGGGAGTCGTGAAGAACCGACAGAAGCCAGTTCTGTAAAGCTTCCTTTCATACCACGACACCATGTCATACACTGGCCACCTCTTCGCTTTTTCCAACCAGTCCCAGAGTCGGCAAATAATGCACGACGTGGAATCCTCTGTGACGACATTCGTAGAACATGTCCAAGCCACCGAAGTCGATGTTTCAAGATGATGAAACCAATTGAACTATCGTCTGTGCGCCCGAACACACGATGCCGAACCTCTTCATTACTGACATGGTGTTGCCACTGGATGTCAGCAGTCCTTCGGAGACAACGATGATCAAACACAGAGATTCGTCTAACATTCTCAACTCGGAGAGGCCAGGTTTTACGAGCATTGAGCAGAACTGCTCTCACCGACGCGTTGTAGGCGCAGATGGCCCAGATTGGCATAAGCCGCTCTGGCTTTTGCTATACGTGGATTGATCTGATCACTCACGCCACCACCAGCACTTAAGCAGCTACCTAGATAGACGAACTTCTCGACTACTTCTATCTGCTCACTACCCGGGGCGAGTAAAGGATCGGATTCCTGTCAGTCTTGTAAAAGTACATTGCACTTCGAAAGTACAAAGTAAATACCATAACTACGGACACTATATCACGTCCATTAACTACTCTCTTTTATTCTCACACCAGTGATATCAATTAATGACGTCTGATATTCAGAATGAACTTATATTTTTAAAATTTAAGTGCGGAATTTTCACTGAAATCTCGGTCTGAAGTAGACATTAATAAGTTGTTTTACTCACCAATATTTTAAATTATCTTCAAAAAAATATAAAAATGGATAAGAAATGAAACAACGTCGAACCTTGTACAGAAATCCATCGAAGTATATCATCAAAA